CGACCCAGCGTGCCTCCGCTGGCCCCCCCCCCCCCCCCCAGAGGTTAGAGGGAAAGCAGCAGCTGCCTAACCCCAGAAAGGAAGGTTGGCAAGCGTAACAAGCCGTGGACACAGCCCCCTAGAAATTCCGAACATTGTAAGCTTTTTCAACTGCCACTACGTATTGAGTGCATGTTTTCAGAGAGCTATCCACAGTGACTCCAAGATCTCTTTTTTAAGTAGTAACAGCTAATTTAGATCATTTTTAGAGGGAAAGCAGCAGCTGCCTAACCCCAGAAAGGAAGGTTGGCAAGCGTAACAAGCCGTGGACACAGCCCCCTAGAAATTCCGAACATTGTAAGCTTTTTCAACTGCCACTACGTATTGAGTGCATGTTTTCAGAGAGCTATCCACAGTGACTCCAAGATCTCTTTTTTAAGTAGTAACAGCTAATTTAGATCATTTTGTACATGTAGTTGGGATTATGTTTTCCAATGTGCAATTGTTGTATTGATCAACACTGAATTTAATCTGTCATTTTGTTGCCCAGTCACACAACTTTGTGAGATTGCTTTGTAACTCTGTGCAGTCTACTTTATACTTGACTGTCTTGAATAATTTTGTATTGCCTGTAAATTTTGCCACTGATTTAACCCTTTTTCCAGAGCACTAATTAATATGCTGAACAGCACTAGTCCCAGTATTGAGTCTCAGGGGATACCATTATTTACCTCTCTCTATTCTGAAAATTGACTACTTATTCCTACCCTGTCAATGAAAATATTTATTATTTATTTACATTACCATTTTATAATAATTATATTTTAAATGGGTATCAAATGCCTCTAGAAGAGGCTTATCAAAAGATGCAAGCTAGGAAATTGAGACTAGTGACCACTACCGCCATTAATACTATTACAATTTTCCAAAGGAGGTAAAATGTCCTTTTGTAGTTAGTTTCAGACCAAGTATTCTTATCCATCTGGAACACAGAGTGAATAATAGCTTTATGAACCAAAATTACTATGCTGTGTATGTACAAAGAACAGAGTATTCAGAGAAACAATAACTGTCCTATTAAAGTATCTAAATACTGTTTTGTTTGAGATTTTGGTAGAGGGCTTACCTCATCTTGTGATCGTTGTAGTCTCGGGTGGTTTTCATAAAGCACCATCATGAGGGCAAAAATAAACATTAGAAGACCATGTCCAAAGTCTCCAAACATAACAGCGAATAAGAAAGGGAAGGTAATGATGGTGTAGAGAGCTAAAAAACAGCACATAACAGACTCTAGTTAACTGCAACCATATTTATTATATTACAATTATATGAATTTTGCCTAATCAGTTATGCTAAATTAATTATGACTATAATTTTAATCCTGAAAATGGTATGATGAGTTCTTTTTATCTCATCTCACAGACATATCAAATCTGCTGAGTCTGCACATTCAAAGGTGTTCTAGCTCCCAGCCTTACAAACTTAAAACTTTTATACTTAAACTGGATTAGTTGTGGCCTATGCAGCACCATCTCTAATGAGATTTCTACAACTGGAAATTAGTTAAGAATTCTGGATTATAATGATGCACGAGTCATTCTTTTATTGACTCTACATTGCTAACAAGAACAAAAAAATAAAGCCATTTTTATCAGTAAAGCTACTAGGATTTTATCCTTGCTATCATGCCAGCGATAGCTGCAGTAGTGCACGCACAGACTTCATATAGTTAATAAGTACTTTGGGATACTTCTGGATGACAGGTTCTATATTTATATAAGAACAATACAATAATTAAAGTTCCTCATTTTCATTAATATCTTTTCTTGCCAATTCTTCTCACAAAAGCAAATTACAAAGATAATACAGGCAGTCCCCGGGTTACATACAAGATAGGGACTGTAGGTTTGTTCTTAAGTTGAATCTGTATGTAAGTCGGAACTGGCATCCAGATTCAGCCGCTGCTGAAACTGATCAGTTTCAACAGCGGCAGGCAGTCCCCGGGTTACATACAAGATAGGGACTGTAGGTTTGTTCTTAAGTTGAATCTGTATGTAAGTCGGAACTGGCATCCAGATTCAGCCGCTGCTGAAACTGATCAGTTTCAACAGCGGTAGTCCTCTTTACACAATTTCCAAGTGGATGAGGAACAAGATTAATCTGTCGTCATTTTGCCCTGCCTCCCTCCTACTCTCAAGCCCCAAACTGGTCAGTTAGCAATATTACTTTGTTTTGAAAATCTGAAGATATGTATAATTAAGATAAAAAGTTGGCATTTAAATTGGCTAGTATGTTCAAGACATTGCTGCTATTGATAATGTTGCATTTCCATTTCACTCAGTCACTGAACACCAAGCAAAAAATAAAATGCTAACAGTCAATCTTAATTCAAACAATTAAAAAGCCTTTTATTGACATTACTATAACAGATTATTTCCTTTGATGTGGGAAACCAGTTTCCTTTCCTAGAAAAATCCTCCAAAAATGTACCTCACGTTTTCAAGCCATGTCACATTAGGGTCAGGGATTTATGGGTTGTTTGATTTAGGGGGATATACAGGCACCCCAAGTTAAACAAAAAACACAAACTTACATCTGCACGTACAAAGAAAAGCTCACCAGCAGCCTGAGGCTAGGATGTCCTTTATGGGGCCCTGTACAGTACTATTAAACTGGTGCCCCTATGTCCAGAGGCGGTCTTGGGGGCAAGAGAGAAGGAAGAATGACAATTTTTAGAGATGTGATTTTATTGCTTTAAAATGGTCAACTAAGGCCCTGTAGACTAACAATTCACTCAAACTGCCAGTATATGCCCAAGATTGGCACATACCTGTTAAATGGGTTCATCACTACTTGAATGGCTCTTTCAGATTCAGTGTCTGCTAATAGGCTGCCAACCCCTGTGCTAGACCTATGACTTGAGAGCCAAATAATGAGAAGTGTAAGGTTATGCATTTAGGGATTAGTAACAAGAATTTTAGTTATAAACTGGGGACACATCAGTTGGAAGTAACGGAGGAGAAGAAGGACCTTGGAGTCCCGGTTGATTAGAGGAGGACTATGAGCCGCCATTGTGATATGGCCGTGAAAAAGGCTAATACGGTCTTGGGATGTATTAGGCGAGGTATTTCCAGTAGAGTTAAGGAGGTGTTAGTGCCATTATACAAGCAAGGCATTGGTGAGACCCCATTTGGAATACTGTGTGTAGTTCTGGTCTCCCATGTTTAAGAAGGATGAATTCAAACTGGAACAGGTACAAAGAAGGGCCACTAGGATGATCCGAGGAATGGAAAACTTGTCTTATGAA